TTAATTTCACAAAATATTGTGGAAATTATTTGACCAGCGTCTAGTACTCCAAAATGTACACAATCTTGATCAAAAGAGAATGATTCCCTCTGGGTTCTTCTGTGCACAATTCATTATACAGATGGTCCTGGACTTGCTATGATTCAACTTAAGATTTTTCAACTTTAGATAGTGCAAAAGTGCTAACTATTCAGTAGAAACCATACCTTAAGTACCCACATAACCAATCTGTTTTTCACTTTTAGTACAGTACTCAATAAATTATACAAGATATCCAACACTTTGTTATAAAATAGGTTTTGTGTTAGAATAGAGGATTTTGTCCAACTGTAGGCTGATGTAAGTGTTCTGAGCATGTTTAAGATAGGCTAGGCTAACCCATGATGTTTGGTAGGTGAGGTGTATTCAATGCATTTCCAACACGTTATTTTCAACTTATAATGAGTTTATCAGGACAGAACACCATTGAAAGTTGAGGAGCATCTGTATTCAGAATGGTTTTTGACTTCATGAAATAGAAATCTGATTGCAGGTAACTTAAAAAAGTAACAAATTCACTTTTCGCAGGTGATGAGAACTAGAAGAGCTGTTCACAGGACCAGACTGCTACCCTCTTCCTTCATGTAGCCTGTACCTTTAGAATCAGGGAAAATGGCAAAGGACAAAAGGAGTCAGTCCCATTGCACTCAGGAAAAGACTAGCTTTATAGAAAGTCCCCACTCTAGGTCTGTTCTTCACTTAGGAGTCAGAACTATGTCACATGGTCACCTGTTAATGCAAGGGAGCCTGGGAAACTTTTAGCTAGGCACTCTGCTAGCCAGAAAAAAACTGGGATTTTTTTTTTTTTTTTAGAGACAGAATCTTGTTCTGTCGCCCAGACTGGAGTGCAGCGGCACAATCATAGCTCACTGCAGCCTCAGATTCCTAGGTTCAAGTGATCCTCCTGCCCTGGCCTCCTGAGTAGCTGGGACTATAGATGCATGCCACCACGCCTGGCTAATTTATTTTTATTTTTGTAGAGAGGAGGTCTCACTTTGTTGCCTAGGCTGGTCTCAGATGTTGGGCTTCAAGCAATCCTCTTGCCTTCACTTCCCAAAGTGCTGGGATTACAGGTGTAAGCCACTGTGCCCAGCCTACGCCAACATTTTTGTGAGTTTTAAGCCTTGTTATTCATATCAAACACAAGGATAGGATCTGCTTCTCTTTAGCATCAATCCAACATGAAAAATGAAAATGCTACCCACGACACTAATAAATAGTAGTAACAATGACACTGTGACTACAGCCTACAGTTCATGTGATAATACAATTAAACAGACATGGGACTATTTCTAGACATAGCATGATGCTATCTTATAAGAAACATTTTATAAGTAATACGTGGAAATCGAGAAAATATCTCATTTTGACACCAAATTCACTGCATTTAATAAATCATCCCTGGCTATTTCCATGTGGGGCTACCAGATCCATATTTCTGACTATAAGATCAATTAAACTGACTAAGCAGTGAAATGTAGAATACTGCTTCCTCACCGAACAATGAAAATCCCAGAACAGATGCAGGCTACGCATCAGACTGTCAACTGCCTGCATTCCCATGAAATCCAAAAATTTGAATAGTAAAGGTCATTGGACATCAATTGCAAACTTTGGTGGAATTTAGTCAGTTGACAGGAGTTTCTCTATTGTGTATATTCTTCATTCAGGAAATAATATCTGCAGAGTTCCAAGTTGCACGTTTCCACTTGAATAATTACTCTTCAAAAACGTTAGTATAAGCATATTCCAGATCTTCTTACAGGCGTGTTATTTCACTGTCTGAATTTGGGGTTACACACATGAAGGCACCATGGAATGCTATTTTCATTGTCTCTGGTTAATGACAACAGAAGTGGGCTGAACTTCATGCACACATGATGTCCCTGTGGGAGGTGCAGGCCAAAGGCTGCTGAACAGGAACATACAAGAGAACTGCAGAAATTTAACAGAGAAAAGGGATGGGCAAGACTGTGGGGGTCGGCAAACAAACCCAGATGAACCTGCCATAGAGCAGCCACCACCATATTCATGATTTGTGCAAGAGTTTAGATTTAAGAAACATTACTGGCCACATTAAGTTAATGTTGTTCATTTGAATGTAATGGCTTTGCCATTTCATTTGTATTTAATTTGTAAAGATGTTTGGCTTTATGGTTGTATAATGGTTGTCAACAGAAGGAGTTTAGTCCTATTTTATTTTTATACATATTTAAGTAACATTATAATCAAAACAATTTAGTTCAATACTGCAGTAGCAAGAGATTGTCTTTCCTTAAAGAAAAAAAAAAAAAAAAAGAATTCCTATACTCCTCAAGTCTGAGAAGCACTTTTCTATAGCTTTCTCTGTGACAGGAACAGACAATGGAGGTGACACCATGACATCAAAGCCAAATTCACATTCTGTTAAAGGTAGGTGAAGAAGTGCTTTACAGGTACGATCATTCCCAGCTTTTTGGATTAGTGACATCAATCACTGTTTAATGGACATCTTACTCTCTGCAAAAATAATAATTACAAAAAAGTAAAGTTTCCAGTCTTTTTTCTTAAAAGTATAAATTATGTCTCTCCTGAGTTGGAAGCATCTTACAAATTATCTAGTCTAATCACCCTTCTGGGGCACAAATGCGTAAAAGCATAAGAGGTCTGACAGCTGCTGAGGCTGTGCTTGAGTTAGGCTGAGAGGGGCTTTTGAATACAGCAATGTCTAAGATGTGATTCTGAGTTACTTACTGTTTGGTGTAACTCGTCCTCACGACTAAAGTCTCCTTCAGAATGTTTTGCTGAGTGGATTTTGGCAGAAATTAGGAGGCTGAGTTTCAGTTTGGGGTTAGCACAGTGCAGGGTAGAGACTCCAGGTGGGGATGCTGGAGTCCAGACACAGAGGCTATTCTGAGCATGTATGTGCGACTGAAAATTTGCAGACATTTACATGCAAGATTTAGACTCTTGTAGGGCACTATGATTTAAACTGGGGTTTAAAGCAAACACTTCTGGGCCCCAGGAGCTGGGAAGACAGAAGCCATCTGACTCCTGCCTCTGATGTCATGTGGGACTTCTGAGCTGTGTAAAAAACTGCTACGAGGAAGTCTACTATTTTTCAGGTTTTCAAACTGGATGTGGAAGGTGCTGAAAATGATGAGTGTTTTTATCAATGATCAATAATATGTCAACTAATTTTTTTTTCACTTCCTCCAAAAGTTACTAACTGACAACACCAGTGTTCTGGTGTCCTTTCTCCCAAGAAAAAAATTCCAATGGGACATTCATGACCTTCAAATGCTGTGTGACCTTCTATAAGCAGCATTCACAAGTATGGCAGAAACCAAGTAAAAGCTTTTAAAGAAAATGTCACTGTCACTGATAATAATTTTATTCTTTGGATCCTGACATATCTGTGGTTAGATAATAAGCAAGTGAACCTTCTAGGTGATCACACCAAAGGGGTCTAAATAAACCATATACCTCCTATGTTAACTTATGTTATTCAGTCATTATAGTCAATATCAAACAGATTTACAGATTTTCATAAGACCATAAGGAAAACCTAAAACCCAACAAAAGGAAAACAAAACAAAAAACAAACAAAATACTCTGGCTATAGCATTTCACCTTAAGATCTGGCCTCGCATTTGCTATTTTTAAAAATACTTCCTCCTGGGTTTGCCTGAGAGTTACCTGTTGCATCTGCAAACCTCTATTAAAAACAGCTGGAAGTAGCTAAAATAGAAACTGGGTGTAAAACACAGCAACCAATAACACATAGATACTATGGATGAAGTAATTTCAGTACGTCTCTAGCCTTGCGAGGGTTCTTACAGTGCCATCCCCAGGACCAATGGTACCAGCGTCAAACCTGGACTTGTGTAAGAAATGAAAATTCTTGGGCTCAACCTCAGACCTACCGAATCAAAATTTGGGGAGAGTCCATCAATGCGCATTTTAAGAAGCCCTCCAGGAGATTCTGACACACACTAAAGCTAAAGCACTAAAGCTTGAGAGCCCCTGGTTTTAATGAAACCTGATATTCGTAATGTTCAAAGTCCAGTTCCTAAATAGAGCAACACTTATTAGAAATCATTATAAGAGACGATGGGCTGAGTGTATCATTTATGACAACAACATGCATATCTATGTCTGATATAAAAAGAAATTATTTGTGAACTAAACTCCTCATGGTGCTTGAACATACAAACAAAAGAGCGGGAAAAGATCTATTTAAAATTGCTTCAGTTAAAATTTCAAATAAATATATAGCCATTAAAACACAATTAACAGATAAATAAATACTCAAGCTGAGGGATACCCCAAACGCCCTGACATGATCGTTACGCATTCTATGCATGTAAATACTACATGTATCCCATCAACATGTAAAATACTATGTGTCAATTAAAGAATACAGTTAACATTGCACTCCTGTGTGCTACACAGATATACATAATTCAGACCTGTGGTCTGTGGCTGTTAATAAGTAATCTGTTATACTACACTATTCTTCTCATTTACCAATTCTTTCATAATACAAAGTTATGCCGCCTAAAAAAAAGTGATCCATCTAAATCATAATTGGAAAAAATCATGTCATTCCTCATCTACTTAACTGCCACACCTAGAGGCTCTCCTAGCCATAAAAGGATGTATCACTTAAGTACAAGAGTCATAATTTTAAGTTGGGCTTTTTATTTGAGTTATAAACTAGAGGTTGGTTCTCAGGCATAAAACCATCTTAGGAAAAAATGAAATATGTTGGAATCATTAGAAAAGCCATCAAAACCTCTGCTGATCCTTCCATTAGGTTTCAATTTGTGTAAACTCAATACTTTTAGACACAACAGCTTTTTAAAGGCCATTAATAAAAGGCAATTCTGGTTTGAGGATTGATGAACGGTCTACTCCCTTGTCAGAAGCTTTATAAAAGTTGATTTGGAAGCAATACCATGATTGCCCCTGGTGCCTACCTGTCTACAGGTGAGGGTTTGGAATTCCGCGGCTTCTTGACTTGGGCATACAAAGCATCCATCATGTGCCCTTCTCGTGGGCTCTGAGGTCTAGCGTTGAGAGCCATGGAACCTTCATAAGAAGAAACTCCCCCATACATCAACTCATCATCACAGCCAAACGTCCGATGAAAATCTTGGATTTCAGCATAGTCACGCTCTCGAGCTTGTCGTTCCCTAAATTCTCGAGTTTTGGCTTGAATCCTATGAAATCAGAACAAAGCTGAAATAAGAGAAACCTTTCCTTTTCGAGGAACTGCATATAGAAACATTCATTAAAATATGCTGTAAAATGTATTTTATTTCATGCAGCTATAGAAGATCTGTGGTGTAAATGATAGGTCATACACATTGTAGATTGCTAAGTAATGCTATGGATGCTCAAAAAGAATAATTTTAGATACCCTTTGTTCATGTCAACAAGATTGCAGTCATAATTTAAATCTTCTTTTTTTTTTTGAGACAGTCTCACTCTGTTCCCCAGGCTGGAGTGCAGTGGCCTGAGATCTTGGCTCACTGCAACCTCCGCCTCCCAGGTTCAAGCGATTCTTGTGCCCTAGCCTGCCAAGTAGCAGGGATTACAGGTGTGCACCACCATGCCTGGCTAATTTTTGTATTTTCAGTAGAGATGGGGTTTCACCATGTTGGCCAGGCTGGTCTCAAACTCCTGACCTCAAGTGATCCTCCCGCCTCAGCCTCCCAAAGTGCTGGGATTACAAGTGTGAGCCACCGTGCCTGGCCATAATTTAAATCTTAGGTTTAAATTTTCACTTATTAACTAGCTTTAAAAACTCACAAGGGGCCAGGCGCGGTGGCTCATGCCTGTAATCCCAGCATTTTGGGAGGCCTAGACGGGCAGATCACGAGGTCAGGAGATCGAGACCATCCTGGCTAACACGGTGAAACCCTGTCTCTACTAAAAATACAAAAAATTAGCCGGGCATAGTGGTGGGCGCCTGTAGTCCCAGCTACTAATGGTGTGAACCCGGGAGGCGGAGCTTGCAGTGAGCCAAGATCGCGCCACTGCACTCCAGCCTGGGGCACAGAGCGAGACTCCATCTCATTAAAAAAAAAAAAAAAACTCACAAGGAACAGATCATTTCTGGCATCTACTTGGATATTACTCATGAATTTGTTTAAGGCAAGAAATAATTTTTTAAAAGTTACATACACTTTGTATATGAAAATGTTTATATGTAATATATATATATCTTACTCATTATTAATACACCATAAACATTCAACATACTACAAAGCTTAAACATGAATCTACACTATAACTCTTCATTACTGGCAAAAGAGGATCTCAGCTTAATGACATCGACTCTGTCATTTTATGGGATGCATACAGAAATGGAGAATCCTTAAATTAAGGAGTAGAAGGCATGTATCCAATCGAATTCTGAAGTAAAACTTGCCTACATTACAACTAAGAAACAAACCTAAATGTTCACCTTTACTGAAGCTACATTTAGTTTACTATGATTTTACTAAACTATTTGGTACAACGTCCTTTTCAACTTATAATATATTGACATAATTTATACCCTAAGTCAATCTTAGTTACCTGGAAATAATTTTTAAACCCTCAATAGAATTTTAATGGAAAAAAATCTCCTTTATATACTTACAAATTTAAATATACATTTAAATGCAGTAAAATCTTACTTCTACAAAGCAATACTTTAGACTGAGTTTAATCTTTTATTGCAGTTATTTCTTTTCACGTTTGAATTAGACCTCCGCTAGCATAAACAATACATAAATACATATTCAAAACAAAATCCAGAAAAGATACCAAAATCAGATAAAGACAGCAGCAAAAAAAAAGAAGAAAGAAAAGAAAGCTATAGGCCAATATTCCTCATGAATACGAAAGCAAAAACCCTTAATGACGTATTAGTAAATGAAATTCAGCAGTATACAAAAGAAATTATACACCATGACCAAATGGTGTTTACTGCAGAAATTCAAGCCTGGTTCAATATTCAACAATCAATTACTACAATCCATCATATTAAAGAAGAAAAGTTACATGATTATATCAATTGATGCAGAAGAAGCATTTGACAAAATTCAACACCCATCATGTCAGAAAACCTTCAGAAAACTAGAAGTAAAGTGAAACTTCCTAAACTTAAGAGCATCTCCCAGAAGCTGACAGGTTCCATCACGCATAATGGGGAAGACTGAATGCTTTCCCTATGATAAACTGAGGATGTGTGCTCCTACCACTGTAATTCCACATAGTGTTGGAAGTTCTAGGCAATGCGATAAGCCTAGAAAAGGAAATAAAAGTACACAGATTGAAAAGTAAGAAATAAAATGCTTCTTACTTGCAAATGACATGATGATCTACACAGAAAATTCCAAAGAATCTACAAAAAATCTCCCGGAACTAAAAAGCAAGTTCAACAAAGTCAGATGATACACGATTAACATATAAAAATCTATTGTATTTTCCATATGCTGGCAATGAACACATAGTTACTGAAATTAAAAATGCAATGCTATTTATAAACCTTAACAAAACACAACACATAGATACACATCTATTAGCCAAACTTTAGTTTATGTAGATCTGTGTAAGATATATATGTTGAAAACTACACAATGCTGCATCAAAAACAATTCAATGTAATAAAATAGTTTTTTCAACCAATGGTGCAGGAGCCATGAGATAGCCATAGGCAAAAAGAAAAGGAAAAATAAATGTCATACCTTACTAAAAAATTAACTCAAAATGGATCACAGGTTTAAATGTAAATGTAAAAGTATAAAATATAAGAAAAAATGTAAGGAATTCTTTAGGAACTAGTGCGTGGTGAAGGGTTTTTAGGACTAATACCAAAATTATTATCCATAAAATTTTAAAAGTATATAAATTGGACATCATCAACATAAAAAAACTTTTCCTCTGTGAAAAGCTCTAATTAGAAGATGAAAAAATAAGTACAGACTTGAAAAAAATATTTGCAAGACATGTATCTGACAAAGGACTCATATCCAGGAAATATTTTTTAAAATACTCAGTCCCTTTCACTCGGCTCATACCTGTAATCCCAGCACTTTAGGATGCTGATGGGGGCATGCTGCTTGAGCCCAGGAGTTCGGGACCAGCCTAGGCAACACAGTAAAACCCTGTCTCTACAAAAAATGCAAAAATTAGCTGGGCATGGTGGTGCACGCCTGTAATCCCAGCTACGCAGCTGAGGTGAGAGGATTGCCTGGGCCCTGGAGGCCGAGACTGCAGTGAACCATGATTGTGCCACTGCACTCCAGCCCATGTGACAGAGCAAGATCCTGACTCAAAAAAACAAACAAAAAACAAACAAACAAACAAAAACCTTGAAACCTCAACAGTGAGAAAACAATCCAATTAGAAAATGGCAAAAGACACAAAGAGACGTTTCACTGAAGAGGAAATATGGATGACAAGCATGTGAAAAGATGTTCAATACCACCAGCTATTAGGGAAATGCAAGTAAGACCATGATGAGCTATTACTACATACCTGATTGGTTAAAATAAAAAACAGTGACAATACCAAATGCAGCCATGGATGTAGGGAAACTGGGCTTCTCATACACTGCAGTTGGAAATTTAAAATGGTACTGTCACCCTGGAAAACAGCCTGGTAGTATGTTTAAAAATTAAACATACACTTATCATACTGTCCAGCAATTGTGCCTCCAGGTACTTATTCCAAAGGTGTGAAAACTTATGTCAAAGCAAAAATCTGTATGCAATTGTTCATTGACAAATATTACCTTATTTGTAATATTTAAATATTGGAAACACCCAAAATAGCCCACAATAGGGGAATAGTTAAAAAAAAAAAAAAAACTGGGGTGTGTTCATATCACAGAATATTACTCAGCCGTATGAATAAACAAACTAGTGATACATATAGCAACTTGAATCTGTCTCAAGGCATTATGCGACGTGAAAAAAAGTCCAGCCAATCTCACAGGTCATATATGATTTCACTTATATAACATTCTCAAAATGACAAAAGTATGGAGTTGGTGAACAGGTTAGTGATGGCTAGGGGTTAGCTACAGAGGAAGGCCTCTGTGATGAAATAGTTCTGTTTCTTCACTGTAGGAGTGGATACACTAACGTGCACAGGTGCTGACAGAACTACACACACCCTATACCAATGCGAATTTCCTGGTTTTGATGCTGTACTACAGTTATCTAACTTAACCATTGGGGGAAACTGGATGAAGGGTACATAGGACCTCTCTGTACTATATTCATAACTTCCTATGAATCTAAAATTATTACAAACTTAAAAGTTTTTTTAAAGACAGAAAATTGTCACATAGCATTATAAGCAAACTTTGCATTTTCCTTGTTTCTTTCTTGTATCTAGCGTATCACCATCACCCCACTCTTGTTTTCCAATTTTGAATACAGGAAATCAAATTTGTCTGATTTTTCTTCTCTCCCAGCTATAAAAAGTACATAAATTCACCTAGCTCAGTGTTTCTCAACAGGACCCAATGACATTTGAGAAGGGGCTATTTGTCATCACGCAGGACTTTTACCAGAACTGGTCACAGCCACATGTAATCCAGCAGTGTCCCCCAGCCACTAGGGCAACCAAAACTGCTTCTCATGTTCCCCAAAACACTCTAGGAGAACCTTATTTCCTGAGGTGACAATCAATGACTTTCTTACCTCATAAGCGAATATTAGAAAGTTAGAAACTTTTATCAGGACTATTCTAGATTCTAACAGCTCTGAGACTGTAAGTTCTACAGACAGAATACTGACAGGAGAAATGGCAACTCAAATTCTAATGTCAAATTTAGCTAAAATTCTACTAGACATTTTTTAAAGTTTTACTCCATTTATCCATTTAAGAGCAATTAAAGATGCTGTTTAATTATGCTATTTAACAATGACAGTTAAGGACGCTATTATAAAAGCTGGTTACCACTAAATACTAGCTACCCATAATGGAAAGTTGATAGGAGTTGGGAAATAATTTTATTATTTGCACCATAATATCTTTTTGACTCTGGATTTGGCCAGAAATCACTAGCAGAAAGAAGAAAATGAGTTCTTTCTTACATTCAATGGGATATTAGTTTTAAACTCAATTATGTTCGCTTATCTGACAACCCACTATACCATGATATTTGGTCACCATTCGTCAATCACTTAATCATAGGTAATATCCAGGGTGACTAGGC